AGGCTTTAGGCTTTGGCTTCTTTTGGAGGCTTGGAGGATGGTCAGGCTCAAGGCCACCCAGGCCAAGGTCCACAGCCTTCGAGGCCAATGGCTTCCACTTGCCTGGCATTTTCCTGGGGGTTTCAAGCAAGGCAATTTTTGTGGCATGGCTGGTGCTATGGATAGGAAGGCCAGGCTGCTCCTCCTTGGGCAGGGTTTTCTGCTGTGGGTCCTGCTCACCTCCTTCCTCTTCTCCATACAGTTGGATGACCTCCTCCAAGCGGTCGTCACTGTCTGAGCCCCCAACTCTTGTGGCCTTGTAGATTTTTGTGAGTGAAGAACTTAACAAAGAAAGAAGCTGCAAGCTGTAGTGATGAGTGCAAAGGCCACTGAGCACCTGCCCCCATTACCCCTACCATCCATATTTGCCATTGGACAATCCACTTTGGTTTGGCCTGGTTGTTCAATTAACAACCTTTGTCTAAGTGATACAGATTCTGTCTATTTAGTAGCACTTGGTGGCCCCCAATGGTAGTTAACTATTGACTATGAAGATAGTAGTCACCCCTTAACTCGGCTGAGTACCCAGCTAACTCATTCTTAAAGCACACCTGGAAGATAGAAGTTTCTAAAAGTTGCTTTACTAATGAAGACAGCAAGGCACCAAGAGGTTAAAAGATTGACATATTTACCAAATTCTAGTATAGTGCTTGTTTGGGTCAGGCACTATTCTAAGTGCTTGGCAAATTTTAAGCCATATATGCTTCATAACAACCCTATAACATGAATATTGCCATTATGATCCTTTTGAAAATGAGGAAAACCAGGCACAGAGAGGTTAGGCAACTTGACCAAAGTCACACAGCTAAGAATTGAACCTGGATTTGAGACCAGGTGGACCGGTTCTAGAGTCCATGTGCTATGCTGCCTCTCCCAAAGCCTGTTCTTAGGTTTCCAAAGGCTGCTTCTGTTTGGGGACCAGCCACAGAAAATGACTGACAGCAACTTTATGCAGGAGTAATCAGCCATGATCTGCATGATGGGAGAACAAGGGCAGACTTAGAAGGATGTGTGATGTGAAGCAATCGATCCGATGAAAGCCAGCTCAGAGTGATAACCCACAGATAGAAGGAAATCTTTGCCTTCTCTCCTGTTGGGGCATGCAGAAGAGGTCAAAGGCAGCACTAATCCTGAAATACAGATCTGGTGGCTCAGCTGACATTCTCTCGGCTTGAGCACACCCATATTTCAAGAGCAAAGAGTTGGGAATCCATTTTCCCACACTTCTACATTGGCAAATAGAAAGAGATGCTCATACCCACCATTATTCTCACACTTTACCATGGATTCAGGAGACCTGTGTTTCCGTGAAAACACTATGGCACCTCTTTCAATGAACTTCCCTTGGGGTTCTGTCATGAGTCAGTATATCTTGTCTTCCATGTTTACAAAATACATTGCTAATGTTAAAATCCTTTTTTTGATATCTCATTGTTCCTAGGACAAAGATCTAAGTCCTCAATGTGGTCTGAAAGGACCAAGATGATCCACCGCCAACCCTGATTCCATTTCTCAAAATCGGCTTTGATCTGGGACTGTACTGGGCCTGCCCTCCTCCTGTTCCCCAACCCCACCCCCACCCCGTTAGTCAGTGCAGCTCAGTGGTCAGATCGGATCTGAAAGGTTTTTCTTCAGCCTTTCCTGACTGCTCCCAGCTTTCCACAACCCTCTTTACATTGGAAATGTATTCATTATATGTGTAATTATATGTGTAATTTATCCATTCAAAAGCTGCTGGAGCTCCTGGTGCTGGAGACTCGAGAAGTCCAAGACCCTTCTCTGTCTGCAGTAAAACGTACGGGCAGATCTGGAACACACCTAGCCCCGCACCTGGAGCCGCGGCTGACCTCCATGCGGACATCGTAAAACCCCCACCCCCACCCGGATCCGCGCCTGCACATTTAAATAAAGACCTGAGCTTAGGATTCCTGCCACCAGTTCCTGCCATCATTTTCCCCGAGCACCTTTTAAAACGTGGAGCCTAAATCTGAACCCAGTACCTAGGTGCAATACCGCTGGCACACAATTAGCACTTTGACCTGGGAACTCCTCTGAAGACCCTAGAGTTGTTTTTGTGTTTCTTGTGCTGTCACCATCAGCCGCCTCAAGCTGTTAGCTCCGTTGAGTGTGTGAATCAATAACTACAGCCAAAAGGCTTTCCCCATTGACCTCTCAGTATTACATGGGAAATCGATTTTTGGGTCCTAGTCAAGTAGACAGGGCAGCATTTTACAACTGTTAAAGCACGGTCTCTTTAAAAACCTGTTAGCGGCAGAACCATTTATAGAAACCAGATGATCTGACTTTTGGCCCGACCATGTTGCTAATTTTTATCATCACGTGTATTGAGCGAGGGCGGCACCGGCAGGACTGGACGCAAGATAGGACTGACTTGCACGATTTCCAATCGTACGGGGCTAATCTGTGGTTTTAAATCCAAGAAGACGCTTTTCCCGCGTGTCCGGGAGGCGGGGCCCCACTTCCCAACGCAGGCGCCCTCGGGTCACGGTTCCGCGCCCGCCTGCCAAGGGGTGACCCCATAGCCCTCAGCCCCGTACCCTTCTGGCGCAGACACCCAATGGGCGGCTGCAGCTCTCTCCTGTGGGCGGGGAATTCCCTGAGCTCTGTTCTGGTTGGTCCACGGACCCGGCGAGGAGTATGACGTTCACCGCCTCCATTACTTCGCTCTGCGGCTAAGGCGTGGCTTCCGCTCCGGGCGCTTGAAGGAGACTCGGAGACACCTCCGCCAAAAGGGTCATGACCCACAGGTGGAGAACGCTTGCCTTTGTTTTGCCTCCAGGTGATGCGTTCCTGTCCTGGCCTGGGGAGGAGAGGCTGCTGCGCCGCCGGCGCCGACCGGGTGCGGGTGGGGGCTTTACGATGGCCGCATGGAGGTCAGCCGCGGCTCCGGGGGCGGGTCTGGGTGTGCCCCAGTTCTGCCCGTGCGTTTTACTGCAGACGGAGAAGAGGGTCTTCTTGGACTTGTCGAGTCTCCAGTTGACCACCCTTCCCGGTCCACTCATTTAAAAAACTGTTTTTAATTGTTGGTAGTCCCCTTCCCCAGCCACCCCTCCCACTTACCGGCCCCGCTGTCATAGTCTTCCTAATTACATTGCTCTTGACCCAGAGGCCGTGTAGAATGTTAAGAGCGTGGAATACGGAGACTGAGTGGCTCCTTCGAACACCATCCTCACCATTTACTAGCCTTGCGACCTTGGGCAAGGTGTTTTTATTTTTAATCCTCTCCGAGGATATGTTTCTATTTATTTTACAGGAAGAGGAAGGGAGAGAAACATTTATGTGAGAGAGTTGAACCAGCTGCCTCCTGCACGCTCCCTACTGGGGACCCAGCCCGAAACCTGGGCATGTGCCCTGACTTGGAATGAAACCGGGAACTCTTGGCTCTTGAGTCGACGCTCAACCAGTGAGCCACACCGGCTGGGCTGAATTGAGTTTTGAGTTACAGTGATCTGTTATCTGGATAGAACAAGAGTGGAATGTAGCTTCATTCCGTCAGAAATTCTTGTTGAGAGAAAACTATTGTAGTGGCAATGGATTCCCCACGTATAACATTTCTTTTTCTTTCATTTAATTTTTTTAATGAGGATAAGAGAGTGAAAGAGTTAACGCTCCTTACTTTGAGCCACCCCCCTTTTTGGCTATTTTGGGTAATTTTCCTGTTGCCTGCATATGTGGCACAGAGGAAAATATTGTTAAACAACTAGGTATTAACCCTAGATTGTGTGTCTGTGGCCTGAAACCCCTGATTAATAGTTCCCCCTTTTTGCAGCAGAGCAAATCCACTAACCAATGTTTCTATAAGCTGTAATAATTGATGTGTTCCCAGAGTGCTCAGTGCACTTTGGGCTCTTGGTTCTAGTGTGCTCATTCATCATCAGGTTTCAGTTGTGTTAACACAGACTGCTTAGAGGGTTCAATGTGTTGGTTTTAGAATCATCATAGACCTTTGTTTTTAAACTTAAGTGCCTGTCATTTCATATTTGAATGAGGTTGAGAGTTATCAAAGTTTTTATTTCACAGAAGATTGTTTCATTTAAAATTTTTATTCTTTGTCTTATTGTTTGTAGTATTTATGACTCCTTTTGTGAGACTTTTTTTGGTGTGAGATCTTTACTACCAGTATTTTTTTTTATTGACTTTTTAAATACTAGGTAAAATGTTTCACTTATACTGGTAGAATCTGGAATTTTAAAAATATTTTCTCTTTCACTTGAATGGTTGCTCCTCAGGGGAGACTTGCAACCAAGCTATCCCTCCCAATTCTTTTTTTAAATTTTTATTTATTGATGAGAGAGGAGAGAGAAACATTGATGTGACATTAATCAGCTGCCCCCCCCCCCCAGGATGGAGCCCACAATCTGGGCATATGCCCTGACCAGGAATTGAGCCCATGACCTTCTGGTGCATGGGATGACCCTCAACCAACTGAGCCACACCAACCCTCCCAATTCTTGATCACTGCACTATGGGTGTGGGACCTGCCTGTTCTGTGTCTCTACCCCTTTTACCAGTCTTGATGTGGCTTCTTATATTCTTGACTGGGGGCCCGGTAGCCAGCAGTTGGACATCTCCCCCAGGGGTCCTTAGCGCCGCCACCACCACCACCACCACCACCTCCGCTTTGCTCGCCAGCCTTGAGCCTCACCAGCCTTGAGCCTCACCAGCCTTGAGCCGGGCTTCTGGCTGAGTGGTGCTCCCCCTATGGGAGTGGGCAGACCACCAGGGGGAAGCTCCTATGTTGAGCTTCTGACCCCTGGTGGTCAGTCCGCATCATAGCGACTGGACTGGTCGTTCCACTGTTGGGTCTATTTGCATATTAGCCTTTTATTATATAGGATTATGGGGCTTCTGATAACCTAGTCTTCAGGTGGTTCTCAGTGTTACATAATTTAATTGTAATTTTGATATGATCATGGGAGGAGGTGATAATAGCATTTGCCTACTCCCCTATCTTTACTGGAAATCCCAAATATTCTTTTTAACTGCTAAAATTAACACATCTGTTTTGTGATTGCCAAATATAACCTTTTGTCTGTCACCTTACCCCTCTCAGCTCCATTTCTTCCCACATTTCTCAATTTTCTTCATTTATTCTTAGGTATTTTAATGGACTTTCTCTACTTCTAACTGAACTGAAGATTTGTTTCTAGTATTTAAGCTTTTTTCTCTCCAGCAACATCATTGCCTTTACTTGTTGGTTTTATTAGATAATGGTATGTTGATAGGTAAAGAGATAAGAATAGTTTTCTGCCTGTAGGCTTGTACACTTGGAGGTACATTTATCAGTTAATCTTAACCCCTCCCCAAGATGAAGTCCAGTATTAGAAGTTGGATGACTATGAACATATCAAAAGTACTTAAATTTTTTTTTTTTTTATTTCAGAGAGGAAGGGAGAGGGAGAGATAGAAACATCAATGATGAGAGAGAATCATTGATTGGCTGCCTCCTGCACATCCCCTCCCCCCCTGGGTATGGAGCCCACAACCCAGGCATGTGCCCTTGACCAAGATGGAACCTGGGACTCTTCAGTCTGCAGCCCGACGGTCCATACACTGAGCCAAACCAGCTAGGGCCAAAAGTACTTTTTGTGGCATCTGAAGATTGTGCTTCAAGTCTCTATGAAAAGAAGTCATGTTGGTTTACACATCAGTGTGTGAAAATGTGGCAGAGTGTGGCTAAAATAGTCTGATAATGCTAATTAGCTCAATGTTTATGGTCTAACCCAGGGGTGGGCAAACTTTTTGACTCGGGGGCCACAATGGCTTCTTAAACTGGACCGGAGGGCCGGAACAAAAGCATGGATGGAGTGTTTGTGTGAAACTAATATAAATTCAAAGTAAACATCATTACATAAAAGGGTACGGTCTTTTTTTTTTTAGTTTTATTCATTTCAAACGGGCCAGATCCGGCCCGCGGGCCATAGTTTGCCCACGGCTGGTCTAACCTGTACCTTAGCCATCACATAGAATATTTTTGCTGCAAGTAGGTATGTTCAATTATAAGAATGAAAAGCTTTTTACCCCACCAAGCAGTGACAGCCACTCAAACATCAAGAAGGGAACACTGTTGTAGAGAACATCTCTCCCTTGTAGGGCTTCAGGAGGAACCTACCCAAGGTATAATCTGTTTACTTTATAAAACAACCCTCAAGTCCATTGTTTTTAAGTCAGAGAGTGCTAACTACCATTTCTTTTGTCTTATACATTTCTCGCTAATATATTTCTCATACTTTGAGTACTCTGAAATATTTTTCTTGTAGATCCATTTCATAGAAAAGTGGTTTGCCTGAAATAGAGATTGAATCATAGTTTTATTTGAACAATGATTCTTAAAGTGAAGCTTAAGCTTGCTCAGTATATCTGGTTATGACTAAAGTAGCATAAACAAAGCACACAGATTATCTAGTCTTTTCAACTTGGCCTTTGACTTCATTATATCCTCATTGTAATTTCTTTGAAAACAAAGTGATTAAGTGGATTGGTTTAGTTTTTGCCCCCATTTTCTTTCTGCTGTTTGTCTTCAGATAGGGGTACAATCCTGTTTCATTGGCCAAAGCATGGATTCATTTGGAAGACAAGATCTCAGAGCAGTGCAGAGAAGGGAGATAAGCCAGTGAATATATTGGGGCTTATTCAAGTGCCAGGACTGCATCCTGCAAACGGATTAATAATAGTAATGACTTTAAAAATAACTGAGAATAAAAATACTGATATATTTGTATATTTTGGTCTTTCAAGGCAAGCAGAGTGCTGGTGGCATCCCGTAATTTTGCAAATGATGCTACATTTGAAATTAAGGTAAGAGGTGTTTTCCTTGTGTTAACTTTTCTGCAGGTCCCCTTTGATATACAGTTTTACCCTGGGAACAGAACATTTGATATTTTTGCTTTTTTACCATTTCAAGTGTTTTAGAATCAAAGGTTCAGAGACATTTAGCAAAAACTTACACTTCTTACTTAGCAGCTTGCTATGTTTGGGGTAGAAAGAAGGGCAAGCTAAAAAAAATTAAAGACTCCAAAGTTTAGAATGTGATTTGGTAAAACTTGTGAGTGAGAAGATTCTTTGAATACTTCTTTGAAAGTTTGTCTTTCAACCTATAACTCATTTGACTTCAAGGGGTTTACAGTGAAAGTCATCTTAGAAAGATTTCCTTCCTCCAGTACCCCATCCCATTACATAGTGAATTTTATGATATAAGGGGTCAGAAGCAATATGCAGCATTTCTGATATGTCCCTGTGGGTTTTTGAGATAAATATTATTTGTGATGGAGTTAGATCTCAGAATGGGACTGGCAGTGTTTACATTGTAGTAACTGGAAGACAACTGATTCCATTTCAGAAGTGTGACCTTCACCGGCTGGAAGAGGGCCCTCCTGTCACCACAGTGCTCACCAGGGAGGATGGGCTCAGATACTACAGGATGATGCAGACTGTCCGCCGAATGGAGTTAAAGGCAGATCAGCTGTATAAACAGAAAATTATTCGTGGTTTCTGTCACTTGTGTGATGGTCAGGTGAGTGATAGTTTTGTAATAAAGTTGTGTTATTTAGGAATTTAAGTGTGGCTTCTACTTGGTGGCTATTACTCTGCCTTACACATTGGAAGGATTCCAGGCTGGTATTGTACAATAAAAGTGAAAATGCTGAGTGAGACCTGCTATGCAGCTTATGCTAAAGAATCTATTCATGCATTACATGGCTGATTTCCTATGCCTTTATGGTATTGTGATCACCTGCATTGCATATACTTTTGGGGTAAAGGGTTTTACCAAGGACTACAAATTTAAATGCCTACAGGGACCAGCTAGGTAGAATAAATGAGTGAAGAAAGCTAGCTATACAAGACAGTGTGACAAGGACTGGTGGCGAACTGGAATAGACAAGTTCCCTGCAGGTCCCACTTGCAGGGGATGTCATGACTTGGTTCCAGCCAGTTGGTGCCATATGGAAATACGGGGCTAATGTTTCCTGTTCATTTCTTCAACACATGACAGAAGACTCGATTTTCTTGTGAGATTCCTTCTACTTTAATGTTGACAGCTGATTCGGGATTTCTTTTTAAATCACCTTACAGCCCAAAGAAAACATACATCTGTGGATTGGCAGTTTATGGCTTCTGCTTGGGCCTTACCCTCCACTCTGTTCTGATGATAGAGCTACTTTCTGTG